ACCTTCTCTGTTTCTATCATGTTCGCGATGCAAACCCTCCATCCAAACTTCCTTACGTAGTTCGACAGCTTCTCGATATCAACCCCCAAGCACTCTTGGCTGTCTCCCTTGGTCAATTTCACCCGGAAGTGTTCATGTTCTCTGCCTACTTGTCCCCTTGCTAGGCAGTGCAGTCCCTCCCTGTCACAACAGTTCTTGAACTCTATCCTCGTCATGTCCCTTGGAATCCCAAACAGCAGCAGCTCCAACTTGTCTCCCTTCCACAGTTTCTGCTTCCATCCTCCAAGCTTCTTCACCATCCTCATGATCTCTACGGCAACTGGACCGTGGCTACTTGTTTTTCGTTTTTTTTTCAGGAAGGTATACGGAATACTCGGCCTTCCCAATCCGAGTGTCCGGCGGGGGTTGTGGTTCCTTTCAGTTCTTTTGCCGGCTCACAGCTCAGTCACGGGGGGGCGGACTGATAGCCGTGCACGCCGTAGTCGTTAGGCCATTGGACTCGCATCCAAACAAAGCCGGGATGGAGCATGCCGGGTTCTAACCGGACCAGGTTAGCTCATTAAAAAGGGCGAAGCGCCGTGTGAGGCATTCGGCGAGTCGCATGGGGTGCGCTGCATCCTGCTAAGGGTGTTTCGGCATCTTAAGGGGGGTAGTCACTGCTATCGTCTACACACCGCTGCTGCCGCCCCCGCCGCAGCCGTTTGGATGGTACTCAACTTCCGCCGTATGGACATGTAGCAGCAGAAAAATGCCGCAGATACAGAGCCCCCCAACCCCCCCCCGTCACCGTCCCATCCGCTCTGCCCCTACCTCTGCCGGCCCGAAAACCTTGTGAAGTAATTGTGCTGATTTGTGCCTTGTGTGTGCCGCTTTTAGTCCTAACTAAAAACATGGAAGAGTAGCTTTGTATTTTTTGTGTCGTCGTCTCCGCGAAAATGTCTGATGATTTCGTCATTGTCTGGGGTCTTCGATGACGTAATGTCACGTTTCTCTTTGCTTGTTTTTTTTTTTTCCACACAGCGTTGAAGTTCATGGAGTGCGAGGACGGCTGGAAGGCCACCGCTTTGAAGACGTACCTCCTCGAGCGACTCGGGCACCTGTCCCAGAAGCAGGGGGAGTACAAGATGCAGCGGACCATGCTGTGCACTTGGCTGACCGAGATCTTTCTGAGGGGCTTCACGTACCTGCCGCTGGATTCGGGCACTGGTAAGGGAGCGGGGTAACAGAGAATCGCGTGATGTCCTGTAGGTGACTTGGCGTATGATATTGACTCGACCGTTTCGACCGATTTTCGAGGCTTGATTGTTTCCACGACAAAGGAGGTCTGCTAAGCGGATGATACATTGTCGGGGAAGCTCGCGGCGAGACGGTTGCACTGCCGGCACCGCCACTCTCGCCGTTGTGGGTTAATTCGAGCCTTGCCAGGGAGTTTGATGTATTGAGTCAAGTACAATAGTGTTCCGTAGCTCGCGGTGGTTGCTCTATTTGACCATTTGAGAATACAGCTTCAGGATGTGTGCGTTCTTAGATTTGATTGATCCGTGCAAACGTGCTTCGGTCAGTCCAGCGTCGAGGGCCCGCCCCTTCTCTTGGTTGAATCACACCCTGGGGTTGTAGTCCTTACCCCGTTTCTCCCTGTGCCATTTCTCCCCCTCTCTCGTCAACCAAACAAATGAGGGATTAACGCACGAACCGAACAAGCCCATCGACTAAGAAAAACAAACCAAACGAGTAAACGCAGCACATCTTGTGTCGTTGTTGTTGTTGTTGTTGTTGTTGTTGTTGCTGTTGTCGTTCTTGTTATTGTTGTTGTTGCTGTTGTTGCTGTCGTTGCTGTTGTTGCTGCTGCTGCTGCTGTCGTTGTTGTTGTTGCTCTTGTTCTTGTATGATATTCGTTGTCGTTGGTGTTGTTGTTGATGATGATGATGATGCTATCGTCTACGTTGTGGTTATTGTTCGTCTGTCTACTTCAAGCACGAGAGAGGGAAGAGGCGGAGAACTGCCTGGCCGAGGAGCTCAAGTCCTTCCTGCGCGACTACTCTTCCGCCCTCGACCCGGCCACGACCATGAACCTCCTGTCCAAGCACGGCCGCGGGGAGGAGGCGTTATTCTACGCCACCCTCGTGGAGGACTACGACAGGGTGCTCGCGCACCACACCAGCCACGGCCCGGACCACAATGCCGCCCTGGAGGTCCTGAGAAAGGTAGCGGGGTGGGTGGGGGTACTCGTTTTTTTTTTTTTTAAGAGTAGCAGAACGAGTTCATCTCTAGACTATCCAAAGACGAGAGTCTAGAATAGATTAGAAATGAACCCATATAATCTTGCAAGCCCTGATCGCACGTCTTGGAGAGGAAGGAGCATACGGGAGGGGGGTACGTGGTATTCCGCCTTGAGTAGGGGGGGTAGGGGGCGGGTTTACGATGTACCGGGACCCCCGTCTCGACGGCCCGCTGCTTGGACACTGGCTTGCACCATGATGATCATGTAAAAGGTGATTTATTCGAAGTAGAAGCAGATTTTCCGCCCCTGCCGCCGTTTTTTTTTTTCTCGCTTGGGACAGCTGTTGTTGTCGTCGTCGTTGTCGCCGTTGTCGCTGTCTGGATAAAACACCCCCATCATCGGTTTCGTTTCGTGATGGAACAGGCGCCATTCGACAAGGTTGAGCCGCTCGTGTACAAGTACAGCGCCTCACTTATGGCCGCCGACCCGGCGGGGACGATCGAAACCTGGTGCGTACTACTTGCATTGTTTTGTTGTTGTTTTGGTTTGTTTTACTTTCGGAACCTGGTGCGTACTCTGTTTTCAGTTTTTATTGTTGTTTCGGCCGGTTCTACTGCTGCGGTGCTGGTGATGGTGATGGTGATGGTGCTGGTGCCATGTATGTGTGGGTGGCATTGGCGTTTGGGGTGATGCTGGTAATGATTGCATGGCTGTGTGCTGGAGCGTGCCGTTCGTGCTCTCTGGTGCTGTTTTTTTTTTGTTTTTGCTGTTGTTGTTGTTGTTGCTGCTGCTAGGAGTGCCTTGTCGGATGGTGTGTGCCCATTATGGGCCAAGTTTTAGAGCCCGATTGCTCAACTACCAATAGAGGGAGCCAAAGCCGAACTCTCTGTGTGTGTCCGGCCGGAAGATTCTCGATGAGATGTCACAGATCGTGCTAACGCCGCCCCATTTCGACACCTGCACCTACCCTCCCGTGTAGTAATCGAGCTAATAACTCGCCCCCCCAAGAGGGGTTGGCCCCCAAGAGGGGTTGGAATACACACCACACGACAATCCTGCACGGCCTGTCTATCAGACGCCACGCTACCCCCTCTTCGAGACACCCGCTCGCCGCCCTTTCCCCGAGGTCGTGCGTGTTTACTCGGTATCCGGCCGTTTTTGTTGGCGTGCATGTTGCCGTCGCTCCGCTCCTTGGGGGTGCAGGATGTCCAAGCCCCAGCTGAAGCCCACCAAGCTGATCCCCGCGTTGGTTCGCTACAGCCAGCGGCGCAAGGCGGCGATGGTGAGGCTGTCTGCGTCGCCCCCCGCAGCGGTTTCGGTTTCGCCGACGGCGGAGGGAAATGCCTCCTTGGCGGTGGGGGAAGGGGAGGACTTGGCCATCAAGTACCTCGAGTTCTGCGTCAACGACCTCAATCTCAAGGTGTGGAACGTGTTGTTGTCGTTGTTGTTGTTGTTGTTGTCGTTGACGTCATCGTTGTGTAGTTGTTATTGCTGTCGGTCGTACTGATGGTGGTAGTTGCTGTCGCTGTCGTTGACTGTGTCGTTGTTGTTGACGGTGTTGATGGTGTTGATGATTGTTGTTGTTGATGTTGATAATGATGGTGTTGGTTATGGTGGTGGTTGACTCAAGCTGTTTGGGTCGCGCGGAAGTCTAACTAGCCCCTCAGTCGCGAGCTAGCCACAAGAGATTTTTTTCGAAAACGAGAAAAAATATCGGTTTGTGGGAAAGGTCGGGTGCGGACTGGCCTGTGCTGGCATCCCAAGTGTCATCGTCATCGCCTACAAGCCTGAAGCCATTGGCAAGGTAACGTTGCGGTGGCAGTGAGGGAGGTGGGCATCCAAACAGCGAGTGTTGCTATTACACACCCCTGTTGTAGACAGACCTCCCCCCCCTCCCTTCCTCTTCAGGAACCTCGAAAATCCTGGATAAGTAGTTTTCCGTTCCTTGGAGCCTTTCTGTGCCCCCAACCCCACCAGCTACTCGTCCCATTGATACTACTCCAAGTCATCCAATAGTATCGGGAGGAACAACCCGACGAAGAAAAAACATGTCCTGCACTCGCCTCGCCGACTGCACGGCTCAATCCCTCCCCCCCACCTGCAATTGTCTCGATTGCTATGGCTGTTTTTGAATACTGGCGTTACCAATCACTGGCGTGTGTCTTTTTGGACGTTGTTGCTGCAGAACATGCTGCGTATGGCCGCCACCCTCGCCCCCCCCCCCCCCCCCCCCCCCCCCCCCCCCCCCCCCCCCCCCCCCCCCCCCCCCCCCCCCCCCCCCCCCCCCCCCCCCCCCCCCCCCCCCCCCCC